GAGTGTATCCTAGGTTCTCACGGACCACACCGTGTGTATCTGTGAGAGTGTATTCCAGGTTCGGATGGACCACACCGCGTGGATCCATCCTGTTGATGCGCCCTGTAGCTTTTTGTGTGTCTGAACTCTGTCGAGCACCCAGTCCCCAAGGATCTGTGTGTTCCACACCGGGACCTTCTGCTGAAGGTGCACATTGAACCTTTGGGTGCTTCCCCAGTTTTTACCTTGTGCCAGAAACTAGAAGGACAAAGTGTTAACAGATGAGTTCTTTTTCGCGTTCCTGTAGTGGTTTGCCCTCACCCCCGGCACCCTTTCTGCTGGCTTCCAAGTCTTTTCCTCACCTTGGGCCTAGCTGGCTGGGGGCACACTTCTCACTTAGGAAGCATTTATGGGATGTCTACTGTGTGCCAGGCACTGTACCAGTTTCTTGTTATAGCAGTGAACAATCTAAGTGAAAAGTGAACCAAGTCCTCTGTCCTGGAAGCAGTTGTAGATCATGGTGACTGTATATGACAGAGTAGAACTGCCCCACAAGATTTCCAAACCCTGTTATTTTTGTGGAAGCCAACTGCCAGTCCTGTCTTTCTCCCGCAGAGAGGCTGGACGACTCCAGTCATGGGCCTTTAGTTTATGCTCCCGTAACAGTGACCAGCACAGAGATTTATTTGACACCTAATATTCTGGAAAAAAAAAACTTTTTTCATATGCCACGGAGTTGGTGCTGAATCACAGTGACCACCCCACATAGGGTTTCCAAGGCTATAAATCTCTGTGGAAGCAGAAAGCCTCATGTGTCTGCCACAGAGCTTGAGCCCCCAATCTTGCGGTTAAAGGTGCAGTCCTTACAGAGCCTCAGTGTTCCCACTAGGGCAAATGGTGGTCCTGAAAACATATTCACCCAGAATCTCAGAGTGTGACCTTCTTAGGAAATGGAGGCTTTGCAGATATAATCAAGTTAAGATGAGGTCATATGGGATTGGGTTGTGTCCTGAATCCAGTAACTGGTGTCCTTGTGAAAGAGAGGACACACGCAGGCACTGAGATGGTAGAAAGGCCAAGTGGTCAGTAGTGACAAAGGCAGAAATTGGAGTTACACAGCCACAAGATAAGGATTGCTGGGAACTGCAGGAAGCAGGGTGTTGTGACTGGGCAGTGTACCCACTCGTCTGCTAACTCAAAGCTGTCCCCAGGTACCACAGAATAAAGGCCTGGTGATCTGCTTCTGAAAAAATCAGCCACTGAAAACCCTGTGGTGCACAGTTCTCCTCTGACACACTTGGCATTTTATAGGAAGCAGGGAAAGGTTTGCCCCTGGAGGTCGTGAAGGGAGCAAGGCCCTTCTGACGCCTTGAGTTTGCACTTGGAGCCTCCAGGACAGGAAGAGACAACACATTTCTGTTGTATAAAGCCCCCCACAACTCCTGTTTAGGAATTCTGTTTAGAACCTCCAGAAAATGAACACCATTCCCATGTGCCAAGGAGCGCCCTGGTGGCGCATTGGTTAAGTGCTTTGCTGCTCACCAGAAGGTTTGCTGTTCGAACCCACCCACTGGCTCCACTGGAAAGACCTGGTGATCTCCCATCATGATGGCAGACTCAGAAACTCTATATGATGGTTCTTCCCTGACACATGGGGTCACGATAAGTCGGCATCTACCCACAGACATCCAGCAGCAAGAGCAGCCTGGATGCCAAGTACCACCCATTTGTGGAGCCATGACTGGACAGGACTGCCCAGGGCCTGGGGAGACAGCGTTGGGACGCCCTGTGGGAGAGCCAGTCCCCAACCCCGCCTGGCTCTGCGTGGGTTCTCTGAGCCTTGAGGTTGATTTGTAGTTCTGTGCGCCCCCACCTGCCACCAGTTCAGTGGCAGGGCCCATTAGTTCTGAGGAAATTTCAGGGCCGTGTGGAGCGGACAGCGCCTTTCATCTTCCCTGAGGTGAGCAGCTCAGTGGATCCTGCACCTTCTCCAGCCCTCCCCCACCACCCCTAGACTACCCTGCCAGTTGTAATTCCACCCTCCCACCCTGGAGGGAGCTGGGCCAGGTCTCTGGGGACTTAGAAATCTATGGAACGTGTCTCAGTACAGCCTCAGCCGGCCTGTGGGAGTCTCTGGAGAGGGGTGTGGGGCAGGCTGCTTTGTGGAAAGAAAGCTTTGCCAGTGTGTGTATAGCGGGGAATGCTGGGTAGACTCATCTTCTCATCCATCCAGCCATTTGTTCAGCATGCTAGTTGAGCATCTACAGTGTGGCCACCCCCTGTCGTTGGTGACACCTGGGAGCAAGGCAGACGGAAGTGGTCAGAGCCCCTGAGTTTGTGAGCAGTCTTGTACCTGAGGAGTCTTCAGGAAGCAACACAGTAGTCGTGAGCCAGGCTGTGTGCTTGGGAGGATGGTCATGCTGCCGGAGCAGGCCCACGGCGCTCGTGGTGGCTACGGACGGCAGCTGAGTAGTGGATGCTGTATGTGTTGACGCAGATGTGGTAAAGAACTGTGTGGGGGGGGCCCCCCACTGTGGGCCGTGCTTGGAGGACTCCAATGTCGCCGTTCTTGGGGTCCCCCTTAACTCTGTGTGTGTGTGTGTGTTCTGCTCGGAGCCGTGTGTTAAGGAGCCCCCAGTGCGTCTATTCATGCCCCTCCCCCAGGCCGTGTGTGTGTGTGTGTGTGTGTGTGTGTGTGTGTGTGAGAGAGAGAGAGAGAGAGAGGGGAGCCTCCAGTCCCGTGTTCATGGGGGCCCCCCCTGTGAGCTGTGTGTGAGGACCCCCCTTGTAGCCTGTGGGGGAGGAGTGCTCATGTCCCCCCTGCAGCTAAGGAAACTGATCTTCAGAGCCATGAGCCCCTTCTGTTGCTTGAGAAAGTGATCCAATGACCTCAGACAGCCTGGGGAACTCCCAGAGGCCACTTCCCCACAACATGTTATTGGTCCACGTCCCTGTCTGTCACCGTTAGCCCTGTCCCACCAGCATGGTCCTCACTCTTGGATGCTTCACTAGCCTCTCCTGATTTCTCTTTCATCCTTGCTCCCTACCGTGCATGCATGGCAAATACCCAACCCCTGTACCCTTCTCAACAACCTTCCATGACTCCCTATTGTCCTTAGAAGAGAAACTGTCCTTACTACAGCCCAAAGGGCCACTGGTGGTCCAGCGCCGCTTTCCTCTCCATGTGTGAGCCTTGATACTTGCACTGTGACCTCACGCCTGCAGGTCACATCTCTCTGCCCCTGCCTTCACCTCTGGGGTTTCTCCCGTCACCCCCTTTCCCCAAGACTGTGATGTGGGCCTTCTGTAGTCCCATGTTGCTCTCTCTGCAGTCACTGCTGACCCCTGCCCATCTGACAGGCCTGGACCCACATTATCACACACTGTCTCCAGCCCTAGTGTATTTTGGGGTGGGGGTCAGCACCCTTCTAAGTGTATGCCCTCTCTTGACCCTGAAACAGGCAGACTCAGGGACAGTCCTGGGGTCTGCATGTGAGCCAGGATTTTTATCTCTGCCCTCCTCAGACCCTGAGTGGCTAAGACCAGACCCAGCAGCTCTGATGAACCTGGTGACCTTCGTGACTCCCTCTCCCCTAAGTCCTGCCGTCTTCCTGGACAGCCACTTCCACATCTCTGTGGTGAAAGCTCAGAGCTCAATTTTTGTTTCCCCTCTCACAATAATGTGTACCCACCCCTCCAAGTCATAGCATGAATCAGAACTTTGTTTGCGCTGTGGTGGAGTGACTTTCCGTGGCGTGGTTCGTGTATCCATTCATCTGTTGATGGGTGTTTAGGTTGATGAGCACTGACTTACCTGCCATAGCACTCGCAGATACCAGGCAGGCAGCTATGGGGTTTAGTAAGCTTCAGGCCCAGCTGTCAGCAGGCCACCTTCAGCTCTGTCTTCTAGGTGGTCAGCTTCATCCTCAGGCAGCCTCCTGCCACGTGGTGCTCCCAGAGACCCATGCTTTCTTTCTTCATAGCATATTGGATGCCTTGATTCTCCAGTGGAGAGCACCCTTTTCTTCCAGCCAAAGTCTCAAACCTGACTCTCATTGGCTTTCATCAAGTCACATGCTCTTCCCTGAACCAATGATTGTCCCAGTGTGTGGGAAGGGCTTCATAGGCTGGTTGGAGCATGTGGAGGTAGCATGGGATGTGCAGGACAGAGAACGTGGGACCCTTGCTTACACCAGAGATGGCTGGAGGAACCAACCAGCTGTGACCCTGGTCAAGTGTAATGTAGCAGTGGCTGGCAGACAGCAGAGGATTCTGAGGAGGGTGGGGGTTGCCAGAAGATTCATGGGGAAGGACTGGGGTTTCTCTTGGCACAGTACGGGGTCTCCATCTTTTTCTCTGTGGGTCTCAGTTCCCCATCTGTATCACCAACAACACTGGACCTTTGTTGAGATTCTTTGTAGCTTGGCTGTGGATGTTTCTATGCGAGCCTCCTGTCTTAGATACTGGGTTCATGGGGCTTTCATCTATGTCCTTAACTCGATGTGGGCCTCAGCCTCCTGGCCACGTCTGCCCTGTTCCATGTCACAGTGTCCCCTACTGCATGGGGAAACAGGGAGACCTGGCCCTGTTCCCCACTCAGGGGCCCCTCCCCCACTGGTCAGGCCTTATGGCTGGGTGCCCAGGGTGACCAGCGGTTGCCCTGTGCTTCCCAAGAACTTTGTCCTGGTGACTGGAAACTCCCAGAGGTCATGGAGTGAGGCTGGGGACCACGCAGGGATGAGTGGTGAGGGCCGTGACCATGGAGGTTGGGTCTCCTGTATCTACTGATGTTATTTGTGGGGCAGCTGCTGGTCTGGCAGGACGGTGTCTGAGGGCTGAGAGGAGGTCCTGGGTACACAGAGGTGCCTGCCTTCCTGCCTGCGGGGCCTCCATGACTGACCCTGTTTCTCTCTCTGTCTCCCAGTTTTCTCACAGGTGCCTGTGATAGCAGCCGTGAGTAGATGATGACTGCTGACCTTTAACTTGGTGGCTGCTGAGAGAAACTCCCAGACGGCCCCGCCATGTCAGGGTCCACACAGCCCGTAGCACAGACCTGGAGGGCCGCTGAGGCCCGGTACCCGCCCCATGGCATCTCCTACCCCGTGCAGATCGCCCGGCCCCACACGGTAAGAAGATAGATCTGCGGCTAGTGCTTTCATAGACCTGCCCTCTCTTGCTCTTCCTGGGAGTCCCAAGGGGAGGCCCCAGGACACCTGGTAAACCCTGTGATCCCATTGAGAAGGTGGACGCCAGGGTCAGCTGAGCTGAAACCTTTGCCACTCAGAGTTGGTCAGATGGCCCCATGATTTCTCTCTTGACCACCAGTGGGGTTTACGTGCAGATATGGAGAGTCTTGTAATCCATTGTCTTCTCAACTCCCTCCTTGTTGAAACTTGGGTGGCTTTGTGGAAGTGGTTGCTCCTAGTGACCCTAACCCTGCCCTGACCCTTGTGGCCTCATATATGCTCCAAAACAAAACCCACTGCCATCGGATGGACCCCAACTCACAGTGACCCTGTGAGACAGAGTGGAGCTGCCCCAGAAGCAGGCTGGCCTCAGCCTTCTCTCAGCAGTGTGTGCCCACTCTCGAAATCCCAGATTGGGAGGTACCAGCATGGAAGCAGCTGGGGTCTTTGTAGTGGGGGCTCCCTGGGCCAGCCTTCTGCCTCCTGTTCCGAGCTGGACTCACTTGCCCACCTTCGCGAGTTGTTCCTGGGTATGGCCATGAGAGTACTTGCACACTGTTTGTAGAAAAATCATGTGTGTAGAAAAACAAGCCACCTCATTCCTTCCTTCGTCTTGTCATTCATTCACTCCGCTAGGGGGTCCCTTCCGCAACACTTAGGAGGCTAGTTGTGATCATAGAGAAATAGGCATCAACAGAGAATAGTGAAGGGACTTGGCTGGTTCAGTGGTTACGGACTGGGCTGCTAATAAGAGGTCGGTGGTTGAAGCCCACCAGCTGCTCTTGGGGAAAAGGACCTGGCCGTGTCCCATAAAGATGACCACCTAGGATATCCTCCTCTATTCTTGGGGTACTGTTAGTGGAATCAATCCAGCAGCTCCTCACAGTCATGGGCCCCGGGTGGTCTTCCCATGTACCTTGCTGGCTGTTGGATGGGGTGGGGGGTGCTGAGGGAGTGGCCACAGTCACCCTGGCTCTTTGAGCCTCTAAATGGGATCCCTTCTGGCAGGCACAGAGGAAATGCCTTCTCAGGGTTTCCATGAGTGAGTGTGTGTGTGTGTGTGTGTGTGTGAGGGGGGGGGTGTCGCAGAGAGCTGGGGCCCAGGATGCCCCTCAGCCTCTCTGGCTGGGTTCTCCTGTCTCACCTGGTCCCTGCTCTCCCCACTCCCTATTGCCCAAGCGGGACTGCCTCCTGGTTGTTAGAGTCACCAGCTGACCCCCAGACTGCTTTCACTATCCCTTCCTGGGCCATCTGTGATACAGCCTGTGGTTGGATGGGACCTAGAGGTCATCGCTGGCCCAGGTGGAGATGAGGTTAGGCAGACATAGCCAATGGGCCCACGCCTGGGCTGCCCTGCAGGGAGTGTTTCTGTACAGGACCCCCCCACCTCCCCGAGCCTTGTCCCCAGGGCAGGTAGATACTCCATCTTGCTGAGGATCTCCCCTCCGGGAGGTTGGCTTGTCTGCTGCTTTGCTCATTTTGCTTTTGTGGGAACGTGTAGTGGAGCGAGCATTCCTCCAGGTAGCCTGCAAGGTGTGCTGAAAACACTCTATACCTCTGCAGAGGTGCCTGCGTATGCATGTGTCGGGACACATATGTCTTGTGTGTGGACATGGAATCTCTGCCTGTCAACCTGCCAGACATGCCGAACACCCCACACTGGTGCATATGTCGATCTGCACATGCGTGTATATCTATGTATACACATGTGCGCTTGTGCCTGCACATGTTTGCCCACAATTGTGTGTATGTTGTCTTGCACATGCATGCATATCTATTTGTGTGTCTACACACGTCTGACTGCATGTGAGTGCATGTGTCAGTGTGTCTGCCAGGATGTATCTGCATATGTGTGTGTGTGCATGCATATGTGTCAGTGTGCATACACGAGCCTGCCTGATATTGTGTCTGTACTCAGTGCACATGTGTCTGTCTGCACATGGGCGTGTGTAATGTGTGTGCCTGTGTCAGTTTGTGCTTGCATGTGTGTGTGTCCATGTGCACACGTGTCTGTGTGCATCCACGCGTGCTGGGTCTGTGTGTGAGCGTGTGAGTCGCCTGGCCTCTCCTCACACCTGCGTGTGGGTCTGACATGAGTCTGTGGGGTGTGAGAGGTCTGTCCACGTGTCCCTGTGATGGTTGTTTAGGCTGTGCCTCTGTCTACGTTTTCCTGCTGACACTGTCACCTCTATGCATTCGTCACCTGAGCTCCATCATGCTCTGTACCCGCTCCCCTGATGACCTGCGATGCTGCTGAGAGGAAGCGGTAGAGGTGGCAATCTCGCAGTTCTGCTTTCACAGGCTCGGAGGTCCCATCTGCAAAGGGGTGTGATGGTCCAGCCCCTCTCACTCCCCCGCTCCCTCTCTTGTCTCAAGCAGCCTCAGACATCCCTGCTCCCATGTGCCCGACATCTGTCCCTGCAGACAGGTTTCTTTCTCGCCTGGCCTGGGTGTCTGTGCTGCCCACCACACACTGCTTTGGGTTGGAAAAACGTGATCTTTGTGCCCCTAGTGTCTCCTCTCAGGCAGCAAGCCTGTGTGTGTTGTGTTCTGTGCCTCAGTTGTCCCCCGTCAGGTGGGGCTGGCAGCTGCACCTCTATTGGGATGTGGTGTTGACTAAGTTCGGGTGTGGGGTTAGGGTTAGCCGAGACCCGGTGTCGCGTTCACGTGTGATGTGAGAAGCTTATCATTGGCCTGGCATATCTGTTCCCCCCCCCCCCGCTCCGGGTCAGGAGTTCCTGCCCATTATACAGCTGGAAACATTGAGGCTCAGAGAGACCACACAGCTTGGTGGAGCTCACATGTGCACCTGTGTTCTCCCTCCAGGATGTCGGGCTGCTGGAATACCAACACCACCCCCGGGACTATGCCGCCCACCTGCCACCCAGCTCCGCCATCCAGCCCCAGCGCAGGCGGCCCTCCCTGCTGTCGGAGTTCCAACCTGGGGGTGAGAGGTGAGGGGCTGCCTCTGTCTAAAGTGGGGGATGGGGTACAGGCCAGGCGGCTGGATGGAAGGTGTATTAGTCAGGAATCTCCAGGAAAACTGATGCAATCAGAGATGTATGTGAGAGGTGATAGGTACACATGTACATATGACCTCGGGTTGGAGATGTATGTGAGGAGGTGGTAAGTATGTGAGAGGACCACATAATACACACATACATATATGACCATGGATCACAGATATATGCAAGGAGGTATGTACACACATATGTATGACCATGGATCAGATTTTTACAAGAAGGTATGTGCACACATATGTATGACCATAGATCACTAATATATATAAGGAGGCCTGTACACACATATGTATGATCATGGTTCACAGATACATGCAAGGAGGTATGTA